TATTGCGACTTCTTACTTTGAGAGAAAAGTTTCTTTTTTTTTTTTTTTTGTTATTCAAGTATAGCAAGTAATAGTTTTTCACATCTTTAGCACGTTATAATAAATTGCGCATTATATAGAATAAATTACACAACAGATACAGGGTGATTTCAGATACGATCGAAAATAAGGTGGCTGGTCGACCTTTTTAATTTGCTTCATAATTGTATGTTATTTAACGATGTCCGAAATAAAAAAAAATAAAGATTATTTTTACCCAGAAAAAAAAATTGCCGGACGCAAAATGTTGCACATTGCGTAGAAGTGGAAAGTCGCATTTGCTTGTGTTGCCAGAGGGGTAAAATTTGGTGAATAATAACGGAAATTATACTTCTTAGGCTGAGTTTTACAATTTTTAGGCACAATCTATGTGTACATATCACTACAAAAGAAATATTTTTATTGTTTATCATGTTTAAAAAAATTGAAAAAAACATCAATTTCGGCTGCTTGACTGTTTTCACCCAACTTTACCGGCCTGCATCTTAGAAAATACTTTAGTCAGAAGAGTCATATTTTAATTCAATACGCTACTTATGAATGAAAGTAAATTAACTGAAGTTCAAATCTGTATATGCGTGGGTTGGGGAGATTTTGGCAAGCAAACATGAGACAAGCACCAAAATAAAAATATTTTAAGTGCGACATAAAAAAAAAAAAAACGTTCTTTATTTTTTTTTAGCTCTACCCAGTCATTCAACTCTATCTAGCGGTTAATATCCATTAAAAACATGTTGCATCATACTGATGGTGCAATGGATATAGCTCCTCTACCAAGCCCCTTATCCGAGGCTCGGCACGGGGTGTCCCTGTGTTGCGACGCAATGATTGCAACTTGTTATTTTGCGAAAAGAGAGAAAAATAATATATATATATATATATATATGTATGAAAACGTGGCATCGGGGTCGTTGGAGCAAAAGTGCTCCACATGCACCGAGTGGGCGGACACAACATTCGCCGCGCCTTTGCAACCACAGCCACTCCCCGGGAATGCTGTCAATTGCTGACCCTCTTGCCATCAACCTTGACAAGAAATGAAGTCCAGAAAATCATCCCAGAGGCATCGATCTACATCATTAATAGGTCCCGGAAGCTGAGGGAAGACCACAGCGTGTGGTATGTGCTCGATCCCTATACAAGGTGTAAGGTGAGCCCTGAAAACATATCTGCAGCGGTTGAGTACTACATGAAAGACGAGTTTGAGTGTTCTAGGCAGAGTCCCAATCAGAAGGACGTCATTTCCGTTGTGCTCGATGGCCAGAAAACGCTTAAGCCGAAACGCTTTATGACACAGTCAATCAGAGAAGCGTTTCGTGTATATAAAAGTGACCATCCCGCCTCCGGCATTGGATTGACAAAGTTTTACTCCCTGCGACCCCGTTGGGTTAAATGCGATCCCCAGCAAGCAGCGTGCGTTTGTGTGTACTGCGAAAACTATAACCTCTGTGTCGCCTCTCTACAAAACGCTGCTGGCTCGCAACCTGACGCCGCCGAATTGAACTCGGCATTCATTTGCAACCCGCCATCGCGCCAGTGCCTTTTAGGCGAATGTGACCATTGTCCCAAAGGCCAGTCACTTACACTCGAAAAACTCATCATTTCCGAGGATGAAGAGATAGTTTTGGCAGCATGGGAGTCAGGCGAGCTCGTCAAAAAGACTTTAGATCCGGTCACTTTTCTGGAAGAGCTTCGTGTGTCGGTCTCAAGGTGGATGATCCACAACCATATCAGACAGGCGCAAAGCAAAGTCATCTATGAAGAAAAGCAGTGCGTGCAGCGGGGTAGCATTGTCTTCCACTTCGACTTTGCTGGAAACTGGACTGTTATCAGGGGTGGAACTTATGAAATGTACTTGGGAGCAGCCACGGGAGCAGCAGAAACAGCTGTTTTGGAGCAGGTTTGGAGCAGCTAAAACTTCATTCTGGAGCAGGCTAGGAGCAGCTCAGATCAGTTTTCATTGCACTTCAGCTTGTGTCTTAGACAAGCACGGGAGCAATTTCGATTGTGCTTAGCAGCACAGATGAACATGACTGGTTGGGACCTAGGTAGATGGGATAACAGTGTAACAAATGCGAAAACTTGAAACTTTGTGAGCCTTAATGAGAATAAAAAAGCAAGTACCATGTGTTTCTGAAGATAGCGTCGTTAATATTTTCTGAGTGGCTTTCAGCTGCTTAAAATACAAGCTAAACTGCTTATCGCACAATCCACACGTGCTCGACCATAGCTATGGCTCGACATAGTAATTATATGTGCGAGCCACGTGACGGGCGTAAGCAACGGACTTGCAGTTGCGCGGTAGAATAGGGCAACAAATTTCAAGTTTAACCTATTCTGCAACTGAATATCGAAGCAGCAGACTACGATTAACGAAGTTTTCGTACTGGAAGCGATAAGCAGGAGCAAGGTTAACAAACGCCGAGCAGATCTACCGCTCGCGTGAGAGCTGTTGGCCGGCAAGGTTTCGGATCGGACAAAGGTTCAAAGAAGTTTATTGGCTTTACTTGCATACAGCCGAGAGCCTGAGGCAGCCAAAAGGCAGAAGCTCGTGCATCCAAGTGCAGGCTGCCTCCTCAGCTGTATGTTAACAACCAGAGAATACATGTGAATGAAACTTATTTGTACAGGTTTATTACACGTTTCAGTTCTATCAAATCACGATTTATCTTGCCAGAATGCGGCTCCAACTTCTGACGATGAAGTACTAAAAGGAATCGTTTACTCATTTGTTTTCAACTGGCTGACGTCCGGATCGGGGGGACCTCACCTAGGCCGACTTGCTTAACCGCTTATGGTTGAAGAATAACAATCCAGTCGCAGGTTGTGTAGCGCTTGGAATCCGACCCCCGAGTTTTTTCGCGCGCTTCCGACTCGGGATACACAAGAATAAAAAGAACAAAGGATTGCAAGGCCGACAAAGCTAAACGCGCTCATTGTTGCCAATCGAGTCAATAAAAAGCGAAACCAAGACAAAATAAAATTTTTTTTGGCGCACGTTTTGCGATTTAGCGCAGAATGGCGCAAGGTATTGGCTGTGGCGCGGTTTCCGCAACATGGCACAGGATGGCGCAGACAAATGCGCCGGGCGCAAAAGGGCGCAAATGGCGCAGCCGTTCCACCCCTGTGTTATCCTTCCTGACGAGATTCAAGCGTACCACTGGGAAACAAAACAGGTCTCAATATTTACGTGTGTGGTGACGACTAGAAAGTCGACATACACTTTTGCCGTCATCAGTGACGACTTGCATCATGACTCCGCTCATCTGGCTGTACAAAAAGTGAGAGAGTGGGTGGATGACAACCTTGCTGTGTACTCTCATTTGACTTATGTAAGTGACGGTGCCGCCAGTCACTTCAAGAATCGCTTCCAACTTCATGAATTCCAAAAAAATGTTTTTCCCAAGGCCCAATGGCCACTGGGCACGGAAAAAACGCGTGTGACGGAGTTGGAGGACTCGTCAAACACCAAGCAATGCTTCACAACTTGAGACAGCTCCCAGGAAAGGCCATACAGACTGCGAAATGCATAGTTTCCCAAAAACTAAAAGGAGTGAATTTCACAATTTTGGACGAGGACGAGGTTGTTAAATTCCGTGAACGCAAAAATGAAGGGTGGGTGGGAGTGCGCGCCTTTCCTGGTATTCAGTCGTGGCATGTGTGGCTATGCAAAACATCAGAAGCTTCGACCTGTGACTTGGAAGTGGGACGGACTGTCGGGTCCCCTTGGAAGAAACTCTAAGTGCACACCGTCAGAAAATGTTTGCGTCAAAATCTGTCAATTTTGAAACCTACGAAGGCAGAACTGTGTTGTATATGATCTGTAATTTATTATATTTATTGCTCAATTTATTATAACGTGCCAAAGATGTGACAAACTATTACTTGCTATACTCGAATTAATAAAAAAGAAACTTTTCTCTCAAAGTAAGAAGTCGCAATAACTGCGTCGCACCACGGGGCGCACACCGTGCCGAGCTTCGCAGAAGGGGCTCGGTAGAGGTGCTGTATCTATTACACCATCAATATAATGCAACATGTTTTTAATCTATAGTAACCCCCAAATAGAATAGAATGACTGGCCAGAGTTTGAAAAAAATTGAGAACGGGATTTTTTTTAAAATCGCCCTTAAAATATTTTTATTTTGGTGCTTGTCTCGTGTTTGCTTGCCAAAATCTCCCCAACCCGCGCTTAAATAAATTTCAATTTTAGTGACTTTACTTACATTTATAAGCAGTGTATTTACTTAAAATATGACGTTTCTGACTAAATTATTTTTTAAGATACAGGCCTGCAAACTTGGGGGAAAAACGGTCAAGGAGCCGAAATTTATGTTTTTTATTTATTTTTTAAAACATACTAAAGAACAACAATATCTTTTTCCGTATTGATAAATACATATAGATTGTACTAAAACATTATTAAACTCACCTAAGAAGTATAACTTTAGTTATTAATCACCAAAGTTGCCCCCTCCGGCTATGCAAGCAAATGCGACTTTCCACCTCTTCGTGATGTACGATTTTTTGCGTCCGACATTTTTTTTTCTTGGTGAAAATAATTCTGATTTTGTTTATTTTGGACATCGGGAAATAACATATAAAATTATGAAACAAATTAAAAAGGTCGACCAGCCACCCCCTGTTCGATCTTATCTGAAATCACCCTGTAATAAGCAAAGTTGGCTCAATGGCATAGATAGGCAGGCCAACCAAACTTCACAAATCGGCATGTTATAACCAAATTTCTGCTGTAAACTGATCTGCTGAAATGAAATTATACTGTACACAGTAAACCCCCATGTGCAATTAGTTAATTAAAAACTGATACATAGCAATTATACTATTCTAACCAGGGTTCTGATATAGCATACATATCATTCACTCGAGCTGGTTTCACAAAGGGAGATCTCCTGCTCAATTTCGGTTTAAATTAAAAAGGGCACTTGACGACAACTTACTTCTAGGAGTTTCTCGGGAGTCATAGCAACAAACGTGGCCGTCGCTGGAAGCCTGCAACAACCCAATGAAAAGCCACCTTTTGAGACAATTGCGAACCGATCACAATTCAGATCACAACAAAGTCACGCCAGGAAACAGCAAAAGCAGACCTGGCTGCATACCTACCTGCGTTTCGAGTACGCAGGACCGAGCACGGTTTGCAGGCAATGGTCCACGTCTCTGTGCAAGACGCTGCCGGGAGCCGAGCACCGCTGGATTTTAGTGAGAATCTGCAGCACTGCGTGGACAGGGATAACATATTGCTGAGGATAATGTCAACCATTCTGTACGCGGGTGCCTGACGTTAACGCTAGTCTGGGGCAAGCCCTAGACCTGACCGCAGAAATCAAAAAGCTCACACCCCGTCAAAAATATTTCAGAGGCTCAGCAAGTTAAGGAAACAAAATTAAGAAGGGCGATAAGGAAAGCGGTTCTCAAATTCAACGTTTACCGGAGGGCCATAAAGGTTTTGTAAATGCAGGCAGTTGACAAATGTTCCTCGAAATTAAGTAAAAAAAACACCCACATAAACTAGATAAATACTTGGTAAATGATGGTTTTTGTATTACCACCAATTAACTATGCAATTTGCATGCCACAATTTTTGCATTTTGTTGCCCATTTAATAAATCTACAGTGTTCAACTATACCTCTAAAGGCCCGTTCACACTCTTGCGACCGTGTAAGACCGAGAAAGACCAGACCGGTTTTTAAGCCTCTTGCGATCTCTTAGGACCTGCTCCGCTGCATTGCATCCGGTCCTAAGAAGTCACAAGAGGCTTAAAAACCGGTCTGGTCTCTCGCGGTCTTACTCGGTCGCAAGAGCGTGAACAGCGCTTAAGACTACTTGCAGCAGACTAGGCAATGAACGGCAGCACAGGCAACCCAAAATGCCCGACTCACACTCAGAATCGGCGTACTGGTCGACCAGCTCCTCGTTGTGTACAAAAATGGCCTGCAACAGATTCACCAGGCGCTGTTTCTCAATGGTTTGAACGACGTAGCTGTCTGGATGGCGCTTCTCCAGGAGCTTCTTCAGACGTCCTGGACAGGAACACAGGAAGGTCTTCCAAAAGTGCGAACACTTAGGCTTAGACGGCGCTGGAGATACTCCATTGCAAAATTATGTAAGATGTGTGCCAAGGGATCAATGAAACTGAATACCTGAGCAGTTGAAGAGAGTGTCCATTTTTATTTTTGTTACTCTCCTGTGCACGCCAAAAGTGGTGCTTTAACTCTCCATATTGTGCCTATTCAAATCAATCAATTTGATTGATGGATTTCTCATCCCTTATTTCCGTCGGCACTCTGTGCCATTTTTAGACATGTGACACCATCTAGGATATTACAGAGGAACTCCACTCTAAGTTTTGGTTTTTGCTTTTCCGCGAGGGGGCAATTTTTCCAGTGTTACTTGAATGAAGTATGTTCTCCGAGCATGTACTTGTCAGTGGCGTAACCAGGATTTTATTTCGGGGGGGGGGGGGGGGGGGGGAGTCCAATGGCATGAATTCCCCCCCCCCCCCAAATGACGAAGCAGGGTGAGCTCGGCGGTACAGACGCTCGCGCCAAAATTAGCGAGGCGGTGTTTTGTCATTTTTGAAAACGGAGCAAGCTTCATTTACAGGAATACGGGCGTGGTGGCTCACTGTCGTCGTAGTTGAGGACCACAAAGTTTAAAAGCTGCCTCACAGCATGCAACTTTACCCGTTTTTAGAGGTAGCACTGCATTACCAACGTGTGAAGGCCAGACAAAACACAAGGACAGCTATAGACCAACGTCTGCTCTGTTTCATGGGCGCCGCCATGTTTGTTTATGCTTATGCATTAACACAGTAAAGGGGGGGGAGCGGCGGAGGGCTGCGCTTTTTGCGAGACTCCGTTTAATTTAAAAAAAAACCTTTGCACATATTGTAGTGCACAAACGTCGAAAAGGCATAGTCACGAAGCTCCAAAAACAACACTAATGCCAAGAGTGCTGTCAAAAGCAAAAACCTTGTTTTATGCGCAGATCCTCTCTTCACAAGAGCCTGTGCATGCGATTATTATTTCACATTTTTATCACTGGGGGCTAGGAATTCGGACACTGGTCTATAGGCAACCTGCAATGCCGTTTGGTTTGGTGCTGTCTAGTGACTGAAGCAAGAAACATTGGGTATGGTTGGGAGTGGCAGCTGCATTGTTCAAACGTGAGCTATTACTCTGGTGGCGCTGCTTAGACTAGTGTCTGAAGCAAGAAATACTGGGTAGGCCAGGAAGCCGTGATTGCCTAAAATGCAGCCCAAAAAAGAAAAATCTTGACGCTGAAGTTCTTGGCACTTTTATTTTTGCTTCCCTGGCACTTTTATTTTCGCTGAATTTACTGATTTGACTCGACTTAAAGAAATGCTACTTAGAAGTTACAAGGCTCACCCAGCACCGTCATGACACACCCAGACTCTGCAACTTTAGAGCGTCCGCCATGGTGGTGGCAAGACTGCAGAAGGCAGGAAACAGCAAGGATTCGGGTGTCGTAGTCCGGACAGGAGAGAAGGACGCACAGCACCTTGAAGCCACCCAGTTGCAACATTCGGTGTGTCATGTTTGAGTGGAAGGAGACTGAAAACAGCAATGACCACACATTTTTGGCAACAGAAGGAAGCACCAATGAAAGAATGGTCACCAAGCTGGTCATTGGATCCTAAGGCTAGCTGTTAACACTCAACCAATAGGCCATTTGCTATATTCCCAAGCGCCCCGGCCCGCACTTAAGGAATTATGGGAACGGTGTTCCTTCAGCTCCCTAGTGATCAGTAATTTCGACCAATTCTATGGTTACAGAGTTTTTGAGCGTAATTCAGAGTCACCCTGAACAAGCGCCTTATAAAGCCCAAGGGCCTGTTATATCACTTTTAAAATTTCTCGCCACTGTCAGCATTTTTGATACTGTGCATGTGATCCACCTTTCAACCTGACCCTGAGCTGCAGAAATCTCTTACAATATTATCAATCTCGTGATTGTTGTTTTAGCGGGAATTGCTTAAAAACAGGATTTGTGAACTCGTGAAGTTAGACTCGTTGCACAACAGGAGAACGATTTGTAGACTGACATATTTGTATAAGATTGTAAATGATATAACTGATTCGGCCAGAGCTACTCAGTCACATCTATAGGCTGTTTCATACTTAGCGAGCAATGCTGTCAAAGCTACTGGCGCGAGCGCGTGGCTTCATCATATGGTTTTGTTCGCGCAAGAACGCGAGCAAAAGATCAACGAGATCAAGCCCCACGCTCGCGCCAGTAGCTTTGACAGCGTTGCGCACTAAGTATGAAACAGAGTACACTTGCACGTTCCTCGTAGGTCTAGTAGACTTTATACTTTTTTTTACCCTACCGATTTGTACCATGCTGCACCCCAAAGCCGTGTACAGAAAGAGTTTGGTCAATGGGAGGCGCGGGCAGAGCCAGGGCGTGCACCATACTCAGAAAGAGGGCTTGACATGCTCTCTTGGCCAACCAGAAGCCTAAAAGAATCCCCTAGCAGTGGTACCGAGAAACTGTTTTAATCAAAGGTTTATGTTGGTATATGGTTTTAGTAAGAGTGCAAGAGTGAAGTGTATTAACCCTTTATGGTTGAAAATAGGGTGCACGTGATGTTTCCATCATGATCATGCAGAAAGATGTAAGAAACTAATGTGCCGCTGAACTCTGTTTTGCTCGGACAGTGTGTGACCGCTCAGACAGCAGATTCCCGGCGCTTGGCTACGGATTACATCATTGTTCCGCTAGTCACATTCTTCCACAATGATTTTGGGCGACTGTGATTGAAACACGCGCACCATATTTTCAGTTACTGAGAGTTACTCCGACGCACTTGTTAAGTTTGTTTCTCGTGACCACTGCCAGGGTATTATTTTCGGCTTCTGGCTGGCCACATTCAAATTTGTGAAATTGCCTTGGAACACGCCCAGCCCGCTTTCGGCCAATGGCGCCTCCTCATTTGTCTCCTATACTTCCCAACGAACGACCAAGCTTTCTGCATATACGGCTCTGCTGCACCCATGACATGCCTAACTGACGTATAACCATTTGTGACAGATTTGTGGGAATGTTAGTATTGATATTTTTTATGAAGAGCATATATTTCGAAAGTGTGTTGAGACTACTGTTTTGTCCTAACATTTAGTTTTTATCCTGTTTAAAATTTTACTACTAATTAACTCATTGATAAGTGCACCACTAAGGAGGCATTGTTGGTGGGTCACTCAAAATAAAAACAAAACAAAAAGCCGAAAACTCACAACAACAAAAACCAGGGTTTAGCTCGGAGTCAGTGGGGCTGTTTATAGCATTTTTACCGTTTCTAACTTAAAGGAGCTGTGCAACAATTTCAGTGCTTTGCTTAAATAATTTGGGAGTTGGTGTCTCGACCTTTCTGAAGTAAAGAACAAAAAAACGCTTTTGCCTGCATGTCCTACTTTTTATTTTAAAAATGGACAAAGATAGAGGTTTTCGGCACCTCTCAATTCCTTCACCATCTTTTGAGTCACGTGGTGTTCCGGTGAAGCTCTCTCTCTAGAGCCATCAGTGAGCAGCGAGAACTCATCCGCTCGCGACCGCATGACGGGTGCTGGCGCAGTGCGAACAATATGGTGAAAGGAAAGTCTCATCCGGGTCCGGCCATCCCCATCCCCCTCCGGCTTCTGGCGGCTGTTCGCGGTAGCAGGTAGAGCTGACGGTTTTGTAGACCTAGGATACATGGCGCCACTAAAACCCCATATAATAAGAGCTTTGTCGATGATACCAGGTTTTGATGCATTTATATTTACGTTGGAACAAGACTTATAGAAAAGTTACCTTTTATTGAGCAGGTATTCGCACAACTTGGCATTTTTCTACAAGACGCCCATTGACATCATGCCGCGTGAGTTTCATGGCCGCCGCTCGCAGCTGCAGGTCGGGGAATATTCTAATTTTTGCCTCGCTATTACACGGCAGAATCGCAACATTTTGAAGGAAGGAGGCGTGTTTTCTGTCCTTTGTGACAAGATAAGCAATGTCAAAAGTGGAAGATACCAATTCTTTCAACATTAAATTGTTGCACAGCTCCTTTAATATCAGCGTCTTCGGAGCTGTACGAAAATGATAATGATGCAAGAGATTTCTGCAGCTCACCCAGGTTCAAGGGTGAACAGCATGCACAGTATCTAAAACGCTGATGCTCACGAGAAATTTTAAAAGATATATGACTGGTCCTTCGGCACTATGCGATGCTTGTTTAGGGTGACTCCGAATTACACCCGAAACTGTGTAACCATGGGATTGGTCGAAATTACCGATCACTAGGGAGCTGAAGGAACACCGTTCCCATGGTTCCTCAAGTGTGGGCTGGGGTGCTTGGTGGATTTAGCAAATGGTCTATTTAGGCAAGGGCAAATTACCTCCCTCGCAAGCTAGCACTGGTGTCTGAAGTGTTCCGAAGGAAGTGTAGAGGTGGGAAAGACGGAGGGGGGGAAGGGGTTGACGCCATTACACAAAAGTGCCTGGGAAGCGACTGCCCCCCTCCCCCTGTTCGGCAGTCGGACCAAGGTCCGACTGCTGGAGAAAGGCAATATTACACATAACGCTATCGGTACTGCCTACTAGGGGTGGGACTGCTATCTGCATACAGATCATCACATTAATGCTGATCTGCTAGAAAAACAAGTGAGTAAATAAGGACCTAAAAAAAGGCCACACACCTTCACTCCTGTGGTGGTATGTAATGCTGACCACAGTTCTGATGCATTCCTTCAGGAGATTGAGGAAAGGAGCTGCTTGGACATCTAAAACAAAGGGGGAGAAAAAAAAGAAGTGAAAGTCACTCTTAAGCTACAAATCTGTCTCTAATGGCATGAATGATTGAGAATGAATGTGAGCTACCATGTTCAGCAGGGCCGTACCCAGAAAAAAATTTCAGGGGGGGTTTTCGGGGACAACGGCGGCCATTTTGAAAGTGTCTATTGTCTTATTTTCGCCTATGAATCATGTGCATCAGTGGCATATAATGGAGAGTTGCAGCAAACCGGAGAACCGGTCCCGGTTTGGTACCCGGTAGCCGACCGGCGCCACTGCGCGTGCGCAGAGGTGGAGATTAAAATCGGCTGGCTGCAAGTGCACTGACCAGGGCCGTACCCAGAAAAAAATTTCGGGGGGGTCAGAACCCCCAACCCCCCCCCTGGTTACGGCCCTGATGTTCAGTACGCTAAAGAACATATGAAGCTAATGCAGCTAAAAAGTACAAACATCAAGTTTGATTATGTAATGCAAACAAAGATGAAACGTAGATATGTTTTGGGTAAAACTGTTTACACTAACATAATGACTCATTTACACGAGAATCACTATATCCTAGCAGGGACCAGCATGGTTTTCAGTCTAGTATATCTTGTGCACCATTGTTGACCGAATTCCGTCATGGCTTTGCATTGGCAATCGAATGTGGTACCAGTCCTCTACAAGTAGCATGAACTAAAAGAATGGTCTTCACCTTTCAGGATGCAGAGGCTAACTTGCGGTGGAATGCACTTGAAGGACGGTGGCAGGTCAAGGAGAACACTCCACGAGACCTGATAAATGTCTCCATAGTCCATGGCCCAGACGTCTGCCACATTCCGCTTGACTTGCAGCACAAGGACTCTCCGCGCTTGTTCACCAGATGACTTCAACCCGACGATGCTTCCGACTGAGGGCGCATCCTCCAGGGCTCCGTCCTCCCCGAGAGACTCCAGGAACCCCGTTAGGGCCTTGGTGAGCGCCTGGACACCTTCTCTGGTCTCTGCGCTGCAGTATACCCACAAATGCTGATCGTCCTGGCAGCCAACAACGTCGAGTTTCGACAACGTGCCCACATGTAGTCGCTTCTGTTGAGGCGTTTCGAACAGGGAGTCGGGCCCTTCGTGCCTGTTGTGGCCACCGACCCACGCTGTGGCAGCTCCTGCCGGAATCTTGCGGGCCTCGAATGGTCGGCTGAACGTGACTACGTAAGTCAGGGGCCTTATCCTCTCCACTGCCTTGCCGAGAAAGAGCTTCCAGCGCTTGATGCCCGCTTGGCCTTGCAAAATCTCGACACTACCTTGGAGTGATCGAAGGAGCCCGGACTCGTAGAACAACCTGACATCCCGCCCATTCACCGCGCAGATCCTTGGGTGGACGGTCGAGTCCGTGTTGCACAGGTTGAGCAGAAGTCTCATGAAGGTGACGTTGTTAAGAACCATCCAACGCCCCTGCGGGTCTTGTTTGAGAGCTAGGCGGATTTTGTAGAGGATTGTCAAGGCTTCCTGGCAAATGGTGCAGACGTAGACGCCCGCGACACACTTACGCTCCAAGTGCAGTGTAGCGAAGCACGCAACAAAAGATCGGGTCATGTCGAAGAAAGTTTCACACCGAGGAGTTCGACCGGCCCACTTACCAATCTCCGCCTCATCACCAGACGTCGTCGATCTGTCTGACAAGCCGAAACTCATGTCGCGGGTGGGCGACTCGACTATCGACGACGTGATCAAGTGACTGGTCGTATTAAGCAACTGTAGTCACCCGCGCAAAATCAATCACACGCGAAGCCCGCACAGCGGTCTATTCACACGATGCATCTTCTTGGCGCCGTTGGCGCAATCGGGCGCAATGTTGGCGAATCTTGTGTCGCGAAACTAGGTTTCGGCAGTTTACGGGTTGTGATGGGACGAATCCTTATCCGAATCGAGACTCGATTCGGAAGAGTAGCCGAATCTCAAGCGACTCAGAAAAGTTCGGAAAGATTCGGAGCGTTGTCGTG